GGCATATTTTTTTGGGACAAACTTGATTGCCAAGTTGATTATTTTTAGTACGTTTATCGACTGAGTAGTTTTACGTGAACTATACCAAAATTTATCCAGGCTAGAACCTTTCTACGACATCGTTAATCATGCTATTTATTTATTTACTGGCACACATCATTTAAATTGACAGACGAAGAGTCAAAGCGAACTTAACTCTGAAACTAAATAAAAATTGTTTCATGAAGTAATAAAATTAATAGGTCTATTTGACTGCAATAGCGATTAAACTAAAACTAATAACAATAAATAGTATCAGCAATCTGACACATACTTTCTCCCATTAGCTTGTCAACAACCTTTATCATGGTTAAGAAAGAGGTTGAGTAACTATGATATTTTATGGGGAAAATCACAAAAGTTGCAATAACTTTTGAACTGTTGTGTTAACAGCATTGGGGGCCACCATTTTGTACCATTTTGTTTAGCAGTAAATTGAACATAACATACTAAATTCTAATGGAAATCGTCAATGGCATTCTTATGAAAATCTGATTTTCCCTGTTTTTATGGGATTTAAGGAGAAATCGCGATTAAAATCAAAATTTTCTAAAATAATGAAAACAAAATGCCTAGAGATACCAGGGATTCACGAAACGGATATCTCCATCTAAACAATTTTAAAATGCCATCTCAAAAGAACACGTTGACTGACTTTTCCAAAATTATTCCAAAGATTCGAACACCTTTTCCAATAGCCACGCTTATGTGAATGTCCTTACAGAATTATTAACATCCTGTATTTGAAAGACTAAAATACGCATCCCTTAAGTTACATGCCAACAACACTAACACTTATTTATAACTTGGTGGTATTTGCATTTCATTAAATTCGAGGAAAATCATACAGGAACGGCAACGCAAAGAATTTTATTTTTGTATGTACACACATTTCTGTTGAAGGTGGCGACTCAGTCATATTCAACAGACACACTGTCATATTCCACTACTTAACAATTCTCACATAATAATGACACAACCCCGAAATTATCTCCACTAATTTTGACAACTAGGTTAATAAGAGACAGTTTTACAAACTAGGCTAACATAGACGGTATTACTCAAGGTTGCTATGACAACTTCTCTGGTTGAGTTTGGTCGAGACGTGCCACCAGCGGCCCCCAAAAGCCCAAATTGCCCATAACGGGTCTATAATAACTTCCATCCATCTAGCCGCTGGTGCCCAGTGCCCGCAAGCCGGTTTTATAGGACGGCATTTTCAAAAGCATTTTGCAAACCTGATACCGGTTTTATTACGCTTCACCGTTCGGTGTGATCGTTAACGCGTCTGTATTCCACTTTTTATCGGATAAATTGCACACTTATGAGATGTTAGAATGTTTTAGAACGCATTTAATCCTATAGTGTGTGCTAATGAATTGGTATTTTTATAAGTGAGAGCCAATTTGAATTACCGTAACACAGGAAGAAATCGAAATGCGATAATTACGAATACTTTTAACACTACGTTAGGATTGTCAGCTCCAGCTGAATCAAACGTGTACTTTGTGAGATTTGCATTGATTTTTGAATTTTGTAAGTGTATGAAATAGTATTCGAAATTAGAGTTTTGAACACGTTAAGGCTCAAAAATGTTACATTTTTAGCGTTGCAAAATAATACAATACGATTTTTTTTAATTCTTTTTTCAGCTGCCCTACTTAACCGATTTAACGAATGAGGTGTCGTTTTAAAGCTTACTAGTGCACCTGTTGCTCGAATTCGAGCAATTGCAAAGTATTCCAGGCGCAAAACGAATAACAGTCATAATTTCCGATTACTAAAAGAGTCAACTCAAAAATAATGTAATCAATCACTCCACTACAGTTGTCAAAACTGAAAACTCACTCACTCTGAAAACGAACACTCACTCCACTCCAGTTATTGAAACTGTAAACAAATTCACTCTGAAAAAGAACTCTTTTTTGTGTATCATATGTGTTTACTATGAACAGCTGTAATTTACAAATTATTCGTATATCAAATAGACAAAATATTTTATTCATAAGAAATACATTGGGATTTTGATGGCCTGTGGGGCAAAGCCCGAGAACTTTTATTACAGGAATTGGTGGAAGGGGGCTTCTACACAAAAAATAGTTAATTTTGACACTTCGTTTGCAAAAGTGATGTAACGACGCATCCCCGTCCTTCCAAAACAGCCGTTGCACTAATTCATTCTGGAGATTTAGATTTTTCATTCATGGAACAGCTGAAGCCAATTTTATTGTTAGTTCTGTCCGGTGCACTGTATAGAGGTCGTGTTTAGTAAAATTTGTTTCTTGTTATTTCAGTAATTTAAATCCTCGTTTAACCAAATAAAACCTAATAATCATAAACAATAACTCGTACCCTAGTTATAACCAGACAGTAAAGCACAAATCACGAAATTAACCCTAAAATAATAGAAACCAAGTTTCGTTTAACGCCAGTGTCACCGGACATAAACTAGAACTAGACACGAAAATCAAGTTTCAAAATTGGGATGAGTAGCCTAGTCTGCTTGTGTTGGTTAGTCTTTGGTCCAACGTCGATTATTTTAAACAATTGTGGACTTTGAATATAATTTTTCCTGGTGTAAACTCCTCGGCCAGTCAGAGTGAGGTGTTTTAGAGGGTAGCTTAGTCTCCTTGCTGTTCATTTAGGGATTTGCATGACATTAGGTTATTAGAGGCACTTTGGGCTCCCCAACCCCAACCCTAGTCTTTGTTTGAACTCTTCCTGACTCGAGACTCTTTGGTTCACGACTCATTACTTGAGTTAAAGGACATTATCAGCGTGTTACTTTGTAAACCTATCAGACAGTTAAATCTGCACAGCCTTATCACAATAAAGTATCAGCAATACTGGTGCGTATTTACAAGAAAAAATGTATTAGTACACCTCTATCTGTATATACTGTATATGCACAATGTATATTTTATGAAACTTGGTATGTATGTTAAGATAGAAGATGTTTAAAAACTATTAACTTAGTCCAATGCAAAATTGCATTCTTGGTTTTCTCCTTTTTGACCCATAGAAACATTTCCTGGAGTTTGGCTGTTTAGTTATGGGACACTATAGTGTGTATAGTGTAATACGTTACACACACATAGTGCCTTTATCCTTAGGTTTTATTTATTTAAGCACCAATCAATTCAATACACATCTGAAAATTTTCTCACAAAAAACACCCCTCTCAATCACCAATGTATTAATAATAGCATAGAACTACATTTGACTGTGGGGTCTGGGGTCTTCGGCAGCTTCGGTCCGGTCATGTTGGCACCATTGTACCTCCAAATGACGTCACCGGAAGCGGAAACAGTTCCGGCAATCTGACCGCGATCTGTGGGATGCTGGCTCCTCCCTCCCGCTGTCCATTTCAATGTTCCACCGGAAAGAAATGGAACAGGGAAATCCATAAATTAATATAATTGACTTAGCGTAATTAAGTTCGTCTTGTCCGTTTCCTGAGAGTTAGTTTGTATACGAAATGGAAAATTATGTAAGAAATTTGCAAGTAGATGGAATTTGATTACGGCTGTTAGAAAGAAAGGTGATCACACTGTCCACGGGGAATAGAAATTGTTTCGTATGGTAAATGTAACAATGTTCTAAGGTTGTGTTGATATAGTCTGTAGGATGGAACCTGTCTACCTGGCACTGGCCCAGGCCTTCACTATTGGTCAGTTCCCAGGTAGATGGAGGGTAGGAGACAAGTTCAGTCATACAGACTATAGCAACACAATTTTGAACGAAGGGTCAGGAGACAGGTTCCTTCATTTAAACTATAGTAGCCTATTAGTTGACTTCTGTGCGAGATGTATGATCCCAGAATGCCGGATATACAGTACAAGTTTTAGAAAGAATGCTTAGAAAAGAAGCCAAAATTGGTGATTGGCGATATTAGAACTCGGACTTCGAGTATATGTGTCCTGCTCTAGCTATTAGACTAGCCCCCCATGTCCCATGTATATCGATGACTGTTTTGCCAAAATATAAACTATGACAAAAACGCTTGGATAATGCATTTAGAGCACGTGTGGTGAAATGATAAACTATTCCGCTGTACTCGGAACTCTAACTAGCTGAATAAGCCAACCACTCATAATAATTGAAGACTCGTCATCACTAGAATTCTGTTACAGTAACAACCAACTACTGTAACATGAATGTAGTGGGCATTAAGTTACATGATAATTAATATCTTGAGTAACATCTACGTCTTAGTAATATAATATTACAATCATATTACAGTTTCAGTTTGTCGTTTGTCTTGATGTTCATAGTTTTCACTTTTAATGAAAATCTGCACCACTGCACCTCTTAACGGGATTTGAAAAATTGTATAGACAAGTTTTTAAAATTACTCCAAAAGAGCATATACATTTTAAACTGTTATTGGACCTTTTTTGGGTGACGACCAATTTATTTTAGCTGTGCAATAAATTTTATTTTAAACTGAGAGTGTCAGGTTGTTCGTAGAAAGCAGATTTGTTTAGTCCTGCTAGCGCCAAAGATCTAAAGAACGCCTTATACTGCACAATTATACTTCATGACTGTAGCATGTGTGTTAATCTAGTTTTATGTCTTTTTAAGCATTAACTACAAGATCGCGCCACTCATCCTACACTCATCTCCATTCATACTTGGCTTAAAATACCTACTTTGTATGGTCGCCATTTCATTAAAAAGTATTATTAGTCCACCTTACTACTTCAGAATTTCCTTGATGATTAATTATTTCCACACCCTTCTTACGGAATGATCAGTCATGCAGGATTAACTGAAATCGATTAACAAACAAGGTCTTCGAAATACTTAAATCCTTGTATGGTGTTAGCATATCTGCCTTTGTTCCCTAGGATATCACTGCATTTACTGGTGACCTGGCTCTCAGACCCTGACGAGACCAATACTGAGGTCGAAGATCTACCCCTTGTGACGTCACTATACTGTATGTACTGTTGTTACAGCCAGGTGACGGAGGGTTCATACTCCTGGACGAGAGCTCAGACCCTGACGAGACCTGCACTGAGGCCGAGGATCTGCTGACGTCATTACCTCCTTCCCCTTGTGACGTCACTACATGTACTGTTGTTACAGCCAGGTGACGGAGGGTTCATACTCCTGGACGACAGCTCAGACCCTGACGAGACCTGCACTGAGGCCGAGGATCTGCTGACGTCATTACCTCCTTCCCCTTGTGACGTCACTACATGTACTGTTGTTACAGCCAGGTGACGGAGGGTTAATACTCCTGGACGACAGCACAGACCCTGACGAGACCTGCACTGAGGCCGAGGATCTGCTGACGTCATTACCTCCTTCCCCTTGCGACGTCACTACATGTACTGTTGTTACAGCCAGGTGACGGAGGGTTCATCCTCTTGGACGACAGCTCAGACCCTGACGAGACCTGCACTGAGGCCGAGGATCTCCTGACGTCATTACCTCCTTCCCCTTGTGTCGTCACTACATGTACTGTTGTTACAGCCAGGTGACGGAGGGTTCATCCTCTTGGACGACAGCGCAGACCCTGACGAGACCTGCACTGAGGCCGAGGTTCTGCTGACGTCATTACCTCCTTCCCCTTGTGACGTCACTACATGTACTGTTGTTACAGCCAGGTGACGGAGGGTTCATACTCCTGGACGACACCGCAGACCCTGACGAGACCTGCACTGAGGCCGAGGATCTGCTGACGTCATTACCTCCTTCCCCTTGTGACGTCACTACATGTACTGTTGTTACAGCCAGGTGACGGAGGGTTCATCCTCTTGGACGACAGCGCACACCCTGACGAGACCTGCACTGAGGCCGAGGTTCTGCTGACGTCATTACCTCCTTCCCCTTGTGACGTCACTACATGTACTGTTGTTACAGCCAGGTGACGGAGGGTTCATCCTCTTGGACGACAGCGCAGACCCTGACGAGACCTGCACTGAGGCTTAGGATCTGCTGACGTCATTGCCTCCTTCCCCTTACGACGTCACTACATGTATTGTTGTTACAGCCAGGTGACGGAGGGTTCATCCTCCTGGACGACAGCTCAGACCCTGACGAGACCTTCACTGAGGCCGAGGATCTGCTGACGTCATTACCTCCTTCCCCTTATAACGTCACTACATGTACTGTTGTTACAGCCAGGTGACGGAGGGTTCATACTCCTGGACGACAGCTCAGACCCTGACGAGACCTGCACTGAGGCCGAGGATCTGCTGACGTCATTACCTCCTTCCCCTTGTGACGTCACTACATGTACTGTTGTTACAGCCAGGTGACGGATGGTTCATCCTCTTGGACGACAGCACAGACCCTGACGAGACCTGCACTGAGGCCGAGGATCTGCTGACGTCATTACCTCCTTCCCCTTGTGACGTCACTACATGTACTGTTGTTACAGCCAGGTGACGGAGGGTTCATCCTCTTGGACGACAGCTCAGACCCTGACGAGACCTGCACTGAGGCCGAGGATCTGCTGACGTCATTACCTCCTTCCCCTTGTGACGTCACTACATGTACTGTTCTTACAGCCAGGTGACGGAGGGTTCATACTCCTGGACGACAGCACAGACCCTGACGAGACCTGCACTGAGGCCGAGGATCTACTGACGTCATTACCTCCTTCCCATTGTGACGTCACTACATGTACTGTTGTTACAGCCAGGTGACGGTGGGTTCATACTCCTGGACGACAGCTCAGACCCTGACGAGACCTGCACTGAGGCCGAGGATCTGCTGACGTCATTACCTCCTTCCCCTTGTGACGTCATTACATTTACTGTTGTTACAGCCAGGTGACGGAGGGTTCATCCTCTTGGACGACAGCGCAGACCCTGACGAGACCTGCACTGAGGCCGAGGTTCTGCTGACGTCATTACCTCCTTCCCCTTGTGACGTCACTACATGTACTGTTGTTACAGCCAGGTGACGGAGGGTTCATACTCCTGGACGACAGCGCAGACCCTGACGAGACCTGCACTGAGGCCGAGGATCTGCTGACGTCATTACCTCCTTCCCCTTGCGACGTCACTACATGTACTGTTGTTACAGCCAGGTGACGGAGGGTTCATCCTCTTGGACGACAGCTCAGACCCTGACGAGACCTGCACTGAGGCCGAGGATCTCCTGACGTCATTACCTCCTTCCCCTTGTGACGTCACTACATGTACTGTTGTTACAGACAGGTGACGGAGGGTTCATACTCCTGGACGACAGCACAGACCCTGACGAGACCTGCACTGAGGCCGATGATCTGCTGACGTCATTACCTCCTTCCCCTTGCGACGTCACTACATGTACTGTTGTTACAGCCAGGTGACGGAGGGTTCATCCTCTTGGACGACAGCTCAGACCCTGACGAGACCTGCACTGAGGCCGAGGATCTCCTGACGTCATTACCTCCTTCCCCTTGTGACGTCACTACATGTACTGTTGTTACAGCCAGGTGACGGAGGGTTCATCCTCTTGGACGACAGCGCAGACCCTGACGAGACCTGCACTGAGGCCGAGGTTCTGCTGACGTCATTACCTCCTTCCCCTTGTGACGTCACTACATGTACTGTTGTTACAGCCAGGTGACGGAGGGTTCATCCTCTTGGACGACAGCGCAGACCCTGACGAGACCTGCACTGAGGCTTAGGATCTGCTGACGTCATTGCCTCCTTCCCCTTACGACGTCACTACATGTATTGTTGTTACAGCCAGGTGACGGAGGGTTCATCCTCCTGGACGACAGCTCAGACCCTGACGAGACCTTCACTGAGGCCGAGGATCTGCTGACGTCATTACCTCCTTCCCCTTATAACGTCACTACATGTACTGTTGTTACAGCCAGGTGACGGAGGGTTCATACTCCTGGACGACAGCTCAGACCCTGACGAGACCTGCACTGAGGCCGAGGATCTGCTGACGTCATTACCTCCTTCCCCTTGTGACGTCACTACATGTACTGTTGTTACAGCCAGGTGACGGAGGGTTCATCCTCTTGGACGACAGCACAGACCCTGACGAGACCTGCACTGAGGCCGAGGATCTGCTGACGTCATTACCTCCTTCCCCTTGTGACGTCACTACATGTACTGTTGTTACAGCCAGGTGACGGAGGGTTCATACTCCTGGACGACAGCACAGACCCTGACGAGACCTGCACTGAGGCCGAGGATCTACTGACGTCATTACCTCCTTCCCATTGTGACGTCACTACATGTACTGTTGTTACAGCCAGGTGACGGTGGGTTCATACTCCTGGACGACAGCTCAGACCCTGACGAGACCTGCACTGAGGCCGAGGATCTGCTGACGTCATTACCTCCTTCCCCTTGTGACGTCATTACATGTACTGTTGTTACAGCCAGGTGACGGAGGGTTCATCCTCCTGGACGACAGCACAGACCCTGACGAGACCTGCACTGAGGCCGAGGATCTGCTGACGTCATTACCTCCTTCCCCTTGTGACGTCATTACATGTACTGTTGTTACAGCCAGGTGACGGAGGGTTCATCCTCCTGGACGACAGCTCAGACCCTGACGAGACCTGCACTGAGGCCGAGGATCTGCTGACGTCATTACCTCCTTCCCCTTGTGACGTCATTACATGTACTGTTGTTACAGCCAGGTGACGGAGGGTTCATCCTCCTGGACGACAGCACAGACCCTGACGAGACCTGCACTGAGGCCGAGGATCTGCTGACGTAATTACCTCCTTCCCCTTGTGACGTCACTACATGTACTGTTGTTACAGCCAGGTGACGGAGGGTTCATACTCCTGGACGACAGCACAGACCCTGACGAGACCTGCACTGAGGCCGAGGATCTACTGACGTCATTACCTCCTTCCCATTGTGACGTCACTACATGTACTGTTGTTACAGCCAGGTGACGGTGGGTTCATACTCCTGGACGACAGCTCAGACCCTGACGAGACCTGCACTGAGGCCGAGGATCTGCTGACGTCATTACCTCCTTCCCCTTGTGACGTCATTACATGTACTGTTGTTACAGCCAGGTGACGGAGGGTTCATCCTCCTGGACGACAGCACAGACCCTGACGAGACCTGCACTGAGGCCGAGGATCTGCTGACGTCATTACCTCCTTCCCCTTGTGACGTCATTACATGTACTGTTGTTACAGCCAGGTGACGGAGGGTTCATCCTCCTGGACGACAGCTCAGACCCTGACGAGACCTGCACTGAGGCCGAGGATCTGCTGACGTCATTACCTCCTTCCCCTTGTGACGTCATTACATGTACTGTTGTTACAGCCAGGTGACGGAGGGTTCATCCTCCTGGACGACAGCACAGACCCTGACGAGACCTGCACTGAGGCCGAGGATCTTCTGACGTCATTACCTCCTTCCCCTTGTGACGTCACGTTTGTTGGTGATAACGTCGTTATCAATGGAAAGTCCAACCTGAAGAAAATGCCTAAGCCAGTCAAGGTAGGTGTTTATGAGTTGTCTGAATTTTTTTAATAGTCTGTTTCCTATAAATTTTGTCCATTTTGGATTTACAGAAAGTTTTCCGTTTCTTATCTGGTGTTTAATACCAAGATTCACTTCACCTATTTGCTAATGATTTGATTATAACATAGTACTGTACGACTTTACGCTGAAATTAATCTTTTTCGTTTCGGAACTAAATTAATTTTATTCATTTCGGTTAAGGGGTTTGTTTATTTGTTGGTATTTAAACAATTATTCTTTTGGTTGTAGCCTGGACTAGTTTTTAATTTGCGCAAACTCATGTATTATGTAGTTATGTAACATGCAAAATAACTTCAAGAAAGAAGAGACAGCAACAGTTTCTGACTGTCACTAATCGATTTTTTATCCACGGGTCATAAACATTAAGATAAGCTTGAGTGAAGAACTACAGATGTTCATTGTGGAATTTTAACGACTCTTGACTTAGGAGATCTTAAATATTTCATAAAGCTGCACAAATATTTTTGCTAACGCAATACAGTACCTCCGTATATAACTAATCTGTATTAGCTCGTCAATGTCAAGTCCTGCTATTTGAATGACTATTCCTCTTGGATTAGATTTGTCATTTTTGTTGTGACCTTCTTCTTTTCTTGTAAATTGACTTTGAACATATTCCATTAGGTAGTATTCCACCTCAGTAGCCAACTTTATCATAAGTAGTGATTGTTATAAGAACAGTTTGTCTGCATGTAATTAGTATTCACTAACTCGTCAGTGTAATAACAATGCTATTGCTATTAGAATATTGGACTTGATTAAGTTAATTCTTCTTGGATTTGACTCGAGGAAATTCATCTTCTTATCTAGTCAAATCAAATCAAACCATTTTATTCATATTATTTTAGTTTGTTTGGACATAGGCTAATCTGGTGCTCCTGGTCAAATCCATACGTAACAGCATGCTGTAACCATCGAAAGCAACGAATTTTATTGGATAAATTTGTTCAATATAATAATTATTATTCCCTAAACCTAGTGGCATACGTCCACTGTTTTCCAAGGTTTTTAGAACGTTGAAATCAAATTCAACTTAGATACTCCTAATTTTAGTTTTGGACGTATTTATTTTAGTTCTACTTTTTAGGTTTTGTACAAAATCCTGTAAATCTTAGCCTTGGTATCTTTAAAATTATTTAACTCTCTCGGCCAAACCTATACTTCACACAAATAGCTGCCGAAAAAAACGATTTTTTTATGAGAACAATTTATCTATTCTTAATTTATCCCCACTATCTCGTAAATTAACTCAAATGATTGTTAGAATGACAGATTTATCAAGTTTTATCCTCACGCAGGCAGGCCTTAGCCTCAGCCTACTTCACCACAACATTCTGTGGTGAGCGTTCCTTGTTCGTCTACCCTGTGGTTTGAAGGAGAGCTCTAATTTCCCACAATAACAGACCCGATTTCTTTCTCTAATAGCCAAGACATATTTTCCCATCGCACATGCGTCAATTTCAGGACCGCCTGCCACGTATGCCACGTATGCTACGTATGTTGAACATGCTTGAAGATCCATTAAAATAATTATTTTTTTCGTGTTTATAGTTTTTTGACTAAACCTTTCCTGACAAAGGTTTTTGTGTGAGAGTAAATAATGAAGTAAATAAAATACGGACATTGCAACAATCACGTTTATAAATTGGATTCGTAAACCAACCAAGGAACTTGGGGTTTCAAAGTAACAGTTCTTTACAGAAGTTAAGTTACGATATGTTTTATATTTTATCACAATATTACCACAAAAAAAAAACATTGAAACACCAAAATCTATCTAGCAACTGCATTATTGCAATTACATATTTCGAAACTGACTAGGATGTACTATTTTTTTAATCTAGCTTCGAAACTTTTTAAAACTTGTAGTAAAAAAGATAAAATACATCTTTATGGTCTGAAAATAGTTATCACTGTCAAGTTGTGTAAGAAGTGGTAGAATTCCTCCTAATATTTATTATATCCGTGTTTGTTCTCAAGAATTTCTTTGTTTCCATCCCTACGCCATGGTATTTCTAGACGCTTTGAATGAACGTTACAAACCCTGGTGTTACCATCTAACGTCGACCTTTTGTAGCGGTTTCTCTTGGAATCGAACCAGCGGCCTTCAGATTTGAAGGCGAGCACTCCTCTCGGCTACACAAACTATTTTGTCTCACACAAGTACGAATAATTTGGCTGCAGCCCAAGAATATACTTTTCTTCATGTTAAGTTAGTCTATTTTCTCGATGGAATAATCTTTTATACAATATACATTGTTTAGTGTATCTCAAAAGCCTGAAGTATCGTCGTATCTCGCCGTGCCTCACACGACAGTCGTGTATTGATTGTGGTAGGCCGTGGCGTGGTGACGTACAAGCTGTGTGACGTCATCAAAGCACGGCTTCACCCTCTGTCTCTCTCTCTCTCTCTCCCTATCGATATCAGTCCCCTACTTGAGTCGTGTCTGACTCTATAGATGTGACTTATCGCTCCACCCTTGTGTCTACTCCGTGGAGAAATACATCATGGATTGAACTAGAATGACGTTTGGAAAGTATTTTCCTATAAAAGAAAACATTACTAAATATTTTCGTTATATAATTATGTTTGGACATACATACTACATCAAGATGTCGTATTTAGTAACCTTTAAGATCCTGTGACGTATTATATCTGAAAATCATGTAACGTTGTCTGGCACTAATGATCCTTTGTTCAATTTTTGGCAATAAGGAACCCACAAAGTATCTAGTTACTATGATGAACTTTCAACACATTTAGTCGCTTTTAAGATCCTATGGCGTGGCCAGGTCCTGTGCCAAATCCAGTATCTTTAAGTTTCTGTGACGTATCAGTATCTTTAAAGTTTCTGTGGCGTATTTAGTTTCTTTTAAGGTCCTGTGATACATGCAGTCTCATTAAAGAGCATGAGACGTATCCAATATCTTTAAAGGTTCATTCAGCATTGCCTCCAGGATTGATTTAAGACAATATAAAATAGGTTACGTACCTTTACGTCGTCAATCCTAGGTTAGTCTTTTTAGCAGCGACTAGTTTCGAAACTGACGTTTCATTTTCAAGCCTTGTAAAACATAAAATTACTTGAACATAATGTCGTCGTCAAAGTACACAAATACAACATTTAACACGCACAAATACACAGAAAGACGCGCGGCCGGCCATTACACGCACGACGGACACGACTCAACTACGCAGACGATTAACTACCCTCAGTGTCTGTAAAGGTCCTGTGGCGTATTTATTCTCTGTTTAGGTTTCCTTGGTTTATTAAGTCTCTGGTCCTATGAAGAATTCAATCTCTTTCACTGTAAAGGTCTGTGGCGTATTCAGTCTCTTGAAAGACCTGTGACTATTAGTCTGTGTTAAGGCCCCGTGGTTAGTTGAGTCTCTGGTCCTGTGACAATTCACTCTCTTTTACCGTAAAGGCCTGTGACGCATTCAATTTCTGTAAAGGTCCTGTGATGTATTCAGTCGCTCTGGATACCCAGTGACGTATTCAGTTCATATTTATTTATGAGGTTATCCAACCAGTGTTCCTTTCCGAGTGTCTGCATGGTAGTAGTCCTACTACACCCCCGCTACCTCCACCTCGCTTCCGTTGCCACAATGCTGTAATTAATTCTTCTCACGGCACGCGCAGATTGTGTAACTCGTATTCGTGGAAAAATTTCTCAGTTCTATAGTAATAATAATCAGGATGTATGGATCGTCGTGTTTGTGTGTGTACATTTCTTTTGCTTTGTATCGTTAGCTATTTTTAGATTTGTTTTATAAATGAGTATACGTTAATTATCCTTACCGTAAAACAACCAAAGGGTGTTTACGTGTGTAACAGTTTCAGTTTTTTAATACATTAACAAATACAAATCATAATGACGAATGAATGCTAAATAAGTAGGATGAACTGAATATTTACCCAAGAAATTCTGCTCTCGCACACCCTGGAACTTGTTTCGTTGCACTAAACTGCGGTATTAACGTTAAGGGTCAGTGAACAAACCAAAAGAAGGTAAATATCGAGAAATACACAATTTGAGGCATCAATGAAGGCAAAAGACAAAAGACAGTAGGCAAAAGATGTAATTTCTTTTACAAAAACATATAAATGGCTGAACAAGGGGCGCCTCATGAAATTCCTCCCCCACACATTGTAATATTATTGGTAATATTGTATTACATGATTACCACCTCTTGATTTTACTAACATCCGCTGTCCTCCAACTTCCAACACTCCTGATTAATGTCCCGTCTCGTCATTGATTACATTTATAATCAACGGTCTTTTCACTCGTATTCGCAACAGTAGCTTTATAATCAACGCCCCACATCAGTTTCGTAATGTCTTGTACACAGACCCCCCAGCTGTAGCAGGTAGCGTGGCAGCGCAGGTGTGCAGGTGTGCTGCAACGAGGGTGACCTTGTCTGATGGTTGTTCCAGTTTTTTGTGTCTGGAAGATAGCCGGTCTTTGTTGACATCATGATAGACTCGAGTACGTGCACCGTCAGGGCTGCGACCATCTGTTGCTGGAGGTTGTCCTTTGTTGGGTAGATCTTTTACCATGTTGATAATGGAAATATCTCACAGTTTGAACTAAATAACTAATTTTATATATAGAATTGGTGTTCACTTCACGTACGTGTTTTGAAGTAGCTTGAAATAAGTCGTCACCAAAACCAACAATTTTTAGATTAACAGTCCATGCGATGAAAAAACTGTTCGCTGAATCCCTGATCAGTGAAGCTGAAGGATGATTCAATAGACAATCAATATTATTAAAGGGAGTTCTCCTAGTCAATAAAGCGTTTCGTCCGAGAGACTTATATTTTTTTAGGTAAACTTCTAGTTAAAGGGTGGTTCTGGACCATTGGGTAAAAGAATTATCACATAGCTAAAGACCCATTGGTGATTGGTGGGGATTTGACTCAGATCTTCAAGACAAAACTGCCACGT